GATATATGATGCTGATACAAAATCGCTAATATTTCAAGGTTATGTTGTTAGCAGATGTCCAATCCTACGATATGACGTTTTACAGCTGACAATTTTAACAATAACATACTATTGAGACCATTTTTTGTCAAACGGCGGAAACTTATTTATACTCCTAATATATCTATTTTATATTTATCAGGTATACTACTTTGCTTCCGCCGTTTTTCTATAGATGCCATTAGCGACAAGTAGACGTCGAGTACATACATTATAGATGACTTGCAATATTCTTTAGTATTTTGTGAACATAACCTGATAGCACCAGTAGTTGATTTGTGTTTACATCATATAGTTATTTTCGAATAAAAATGTCAACTTATGAGCCGAATTCTCGTCATTTGCGGGAGGTGTTAATTTATTTTTTTAATATTAAAAAATCTGCGGCTGAGGCTCACCGAATGCTCTCAGACGCTTATGTGAGGCTGCTATGAGTGAAAGAACATGCCGTGAGTGGTTTCGACGCTTCAAGAGCGGTGATTTTTGCGTAGAAAACCGGCATAGTGGTGGAAGATCAAAAGTTTTTGAAGATGAAGAATTAGAGCATTTGCTCAATGAAGACTCGTGTCAAAATCAAGAGGAGTTGGCAAGATCATTGCAAGTAAGCCAACAAGCAGTTTCAAAACGCCTAAACAATCTGGGAATGATCCAGAAGCAAGGATATTGGGTGCCATACGAGTTGAAGCCGAGAGATGTTGAACGGCGTTTCTGTATCTGTGAACAGCTGCTTGAAAGACAAAAACGGAAAGGATTTTTGCATCGCATTGTGACTAGTGACGAAAAATGGGTTTTTTACGATAACCCGAAGCGCCGAAAATCATGGGAATATCCCGGCCACGCTTCTGCGCTGACGGCTAAACCGAATATTCACGGCTTCAAGGTCATGCTCTGTATTTGGTGGGACCAGCTCGGTGTAATATATTATGAGCTATTAAAACCGTCTCAAATAATCACAGGAGATCTTTATTGAACGCGATTTTTTTATTAATGCGTTTGAGCCGAGCATTGAAAGAAAAACGGCCCCAATACTTTGAAAGACACGATAAAGTTATTTTGCAACATGACAATGCTCGGCCTCATGTTGCAAAAGTTCTCAAAACATACTTAGAAACGTTGAAATGGGAAATCTTACCCCACCCGCCGTATTCTCCAGACGTTGCTCCCTCTGACTATCACCTATTTCGATCCATGGCACACGGCCTGAGGGACCAGCACTTCCAGTCTTATGAACAAGTCCAAAATTGGATCGATTTGTGGATCGTTTCAAAAGATGACCAGTTCTTTCAACGCGGGATCCGATTGCTGCCAGAAAGGTGGGAGAAAGTAGTGGAAAACAATAGACAATACTTCGAAACATAAATGTATAATCAGTTTTTTACAATAAAGCTTTGAATTTTGAAAAAAAACGGCGGAAGCAAAGTTGTATACCTAATAGTATTTTTTATTTTTTATTTTTTATTTAACAAATTTAATAACGAGAGAGTACGCTCGATAATATTTTTTAATTGTTTTTATATTTGTATTATATATTCATTGTCTGTCACCACACAGCTAGCGCAAGCAGCGTGACTACGTCTTGTGTTATTGTTAATTAATTACACAGCGCGCGCGCACTCGTTTGCGCATATACTTGGCGCGAGGCACTACCGTGCCTCTTTTGAACGTATACATACATATATACACATACATAGAAACCATCACTACTGACGACAAGAGAAAGGGCACGTTTTGTTCTGACGGTGAAGTCGCGCAATAACTGTCCAACGATGACGACCACGTTTCTTACTTATAAAACCTAATTTTTCGGGATTTTGGACTTTGTAGCGAGATATCTCCGTTGGGAAGGCACGGACAAAAAAAATTGTGAAGTACTTTTTGTCGTGCCTCGATCTCAACTTTCAATCGAGTCTAGGCCGAACTCGATCGGTTTAGCCGTTGTTGAGATCGAAAAATCTCGAAAAGGCTCTCGGCTAAATCTCGCCTATAAGAGGCACGGGGTATCTCGCGCAGCGCGCGCGCACTTCGTTTGCGCATATACTTGGCGCGAGGCACTACCGTGCCTCTTGATCTATTCAATATCGTTTTTTTATCGTATATTGGTTTTTAATATAATAACGTACAAAAGTTTACTTGGGTGCTACATTTTGATATCACTTTTTTTGTCAAACATGGTTTTAAAGAAAGAAGGTTTTGTAGTAATTATAAAAAAGTTTTTCGAGAAAAAGAAGTTTACAACACACCGCAAAAGCATCAAATATCACACTTTTTTACTTCTCATAAAAGGACAGAAAAACAAAAACACATTTGTTTTTACATTTTACACGTAAGTTTAGTTTTTTTTCTTCATTTAGTTTTTTTATACATTTTTATACATTTTATTGTATTTTTACGCATCTTGTAATTTCTGCGATTCTTTCTTTAATATATAATATACAATTCTTAAAATATATTTTTGTTTAATCTTTTTTGCATGCAAAATATAAAACTGAATATTATTTAAAATAGTTAAAAAATGTACCTAGAAAAATGCTTTATTGTCCTGGGTCTTTAGTATGTGTACAAGTAGAGAGATTGTGTTGGTCCAATTCATTTTATAGTTGAATTCTATAGCACATTTCTGAAAGCATTTTTTCAAAGTGATTAAATTGTTCACTACTGCTTAAAATTAATCGAAAAAATATAACAAAAAAAAGTTTAAAAAGAAAAGTACAGTCTAGCGAAAAATAGAGAATTGATAGTTTTGTTACAAAAAATCATTTTACTTTTTGTGTTTTTACAAAAATCTAAAAGTTTTTAGATTTTCTGTAAAAAAAATAGCACACATAGCAAATATTATTTAATATTTTTAAAAAAAACTTACACTGCACTTAAATTTGTCATTTGGTTGATTATTATTTTGGTTGTTCTCTGGGTCACATATCGTTTTCGTCATTTTTTGGTAAGAAGAAAATCTTGGAACAAAATCGCACAGTATAGTAGACGAGTAAAAACTAAACGTCAAATAAAATTTACACTGATAGTTTCGTTAGGTTCTTCAGAATCTTACAATACAAGTTGCCCCTTCCACTGTCTTCAAAAAGATGGTGGACTAGCCAATAAGAAGCAAACCTGTGTCTTGAAGAGAGTAATGAATTTTCTTTACAAAGATGAGTGTATGTAGCTTCAGGAATTATTCAATGAACAAATGAATTTTTTGGCTGTTGAAGCAAAAACACAGTTTTTGGAGTGTGTATTTATTTAAATTCGTTTATTAAAAATCTATAGCATAAACGTTTTCAACCTTTTAATTAGGTCCTTATCAAATGCATGTAAAAATCTTAGCTATTATACGTCGCTGAGTGCTGATCGTGGATGTCCATGTTGCACAAGCCGTCCCGACCAACACTTTACAAGAGTGAATACGCGACTGAGAAACAAACGTGTGTATAAAGATAGAAATCAAATCTACAAATAACCCCGATAGCCATGTGATGGCACCGTGACGCCACTGCGACCGCACGCTGTGGCGCACGCGTGACAGCACGAGTATGTCCAGGTACGTCCGCGCTATGTCGTCACCGTGACAGCACGTCGTGCCATCGCACTGCGTGCGGTCACAGTGCTTTCACAGTGGCATCACTGTGGCATCACTGTGCGATCAAAGTGGCGTTATGTGTGGCTTTCGGAATATGCAGGAATTGTGAGGTTAGGTTAGGTATACTTTTAATTTGACTTGTGTTTTCTCGCTGAATTGGTCGCACTAGTTCAGAGTTT